TAAAAATGCAATGTCCTTTCTCGTACACCGACGCTATTTTCAGCTTTACATACAATGTTTGCACTGTCCACATCATTCTGGATGATAACGAATACCAAATACTGTTTTCTATTTAAYCCTRCATCATGGCTGGTGATGGTAGTCAATATATTCGGTGCAGAAGAATTGCAAGACATGGATGTGTTACTGGGACATGCGTTGATGCTAAGGTTGAACAATACCAGTGGATTGGCCTGACTGTAGCTTTTATTACTAGATACAATCAGTTCCGGAGGATGTAAGCCTGTTTAAAAAGAGGCAAACAAACCAAAATATATTCTAAATAACTCTTTCCGCTTAATATTATTATACGCTAACAAAAGTACAACTTTATAAACACCTTTCACTTCCAGTGTAACGCTGCTATTTWCCCCATATCCAGCTTCATTACTCGGTACAYACGYAAAGGAGATGTTGCCTGAMGTAYTTAAATCGACAACAAAAATGCCACTCCTACTACTGCTGATCAGTTCGTCGTTTTGATACAACGAGTATTTAGCCTGTGGTTTTGCACTTGCTGTACAGTTGACGTGTATCTGATCTCCACGACAAAATGCAGTTTTGTTTGGATAGAATGCCATATGTGTTAACTCGGGAACATCTGCAAAATAAGCATAAACATAATGCAAGTAAGCTGCAACATTTTTTAAATTTTTTTTAAAAAGAAAAGCTTTCCATGCCAAGAAAAATGAAATTCATATTCAAAAAAAAAAAAACCACGAAAAAATAAAAAATAAAGATCCTGGGGATTGAAGATAAAATCAAAGAGAGACCTTTAGCAGGTTCATATACAGACAGGTTTGACCGCCAACTGCTAGGGATCAGGCCCCGAAACACGCCCACAACACGGAGAAACACTCGGCATCAATGAAATTCGATACGGCGGCTTTTMYAGCAACAAGTGATTTTCCAATGGCGTAAACGGCCTTAATAGCCTAGAAAAAAAATGTAATGCATACTTACAATACACGTCTAGGTAGTAACTCGTTTSTGCTTTGTTACATTCCTCTCCGTTGCTCACTGTCAGATTATAAGTACAAGTATCACTCCTGCTGACTGGTTCAAATGTGACAGTGTTGTCATTCCACACTTGCTGTCCATTAGTCCATGTTATGTCTAACGGCTCACTACCAGAGATATTACACCTCAGAATTACATTTCTTCCCTCAACAGCAAAAGCCCTTTCCATTTCGTTTTCTAATATTTGACAGTTACTGATTGCAGTTGGTTCTGCAGGGAAAGAAATTAATTTAAATWAATTATTTATTTATTAGCTTTTAATAAAACTTAACATGACAACGTTCAGCCGCAATATGAACATAGCTTGAAGAGTTGAATTCAGAACGTTGGATTCCTGCNCTCCAATCTGGTTTTCAGGTTTACACGTAAATCTGTTTATCCCTGTTTTGTCCAGCAGCACTTTGAATAGACCAGTATTGTTTTCCTGAACCACTTCCTCGTTTCGATATAAAGAGTATTTTTCAACGGGAGGCTTTGCATTAGATGTACAAGTAATGTTTATAAGACTTCGAAGACAAAATGTTGTTTCGTTTGGAGAATGGCTGATGTCTGTGTTGTCTGGCTTGTCTGAAAAAAGTAAGAATAAATAAATGAAAATAATAATAATAATGATAAAGAAAAGCAAAATTAACGTAATAATGATAAAGAAAAGCAAAATTAACGTTGAAAATGATAAGCAATAATGGTAATAAGTAAATTATGTATCATAAAGTATTGCTGTGTTTATAATCGAAAAACTTATATCCAGTTTTATACTTTGTATTACGAAAAGCACGAGATAAGACTGATAAAGCTACACCGTTTATGTTTGAAGATGATGTTTTTTAAGTAAGTAAGTGTTGTATTGGCGACACAATCACGAGCCAGAGGCAAGGACTTGTGAAATCTAATTATTTATTATATTCATGTGACCTAATTTCTAAATATGGACCGCCTTAGACCCTCATTTATTATCCATAAATTTTACAACTGCAGCTAATAAATGCATCAGCTCACATTGTACAGTGACGTTACTTGTGCATATACTCCGATTACCAACACCATTATACACAGAAACATTGTATGTCCCAGTATCTTGTCTTGAGGCAGTAAATATCAGTGTGCTATTGGCGGTCAGTCTACTTCCATTAGGATGAGTCCAGATGTACTCATAAACAGGTGGGTGTCCTATGGTGATAAGATTTAGCGAGACGCTGTCTGTCTCGTTAACTGTTGTTGCATCAGGGTATATTTTACACCACGAAGGAACTGGAATTGTTAAAAGAAGCAAGTTAAATCAAAAGCGATTAAATCCCCTATCCCCACTATTAATATCCCTTTCAACTAACAATACATATAGAACTTGGACCCTTTTAACCTAAAAGTTTTACTATATACAACTTAGGACGTGCTAAGCTAAGGGATG